GAGAGGTAGGGCAAAAGGGAAAAAGGGAGAGAAGAAGAAAAGAATGGAGGAGAGAAAGGAGGATGACGAGATTACAAGATAACACCATGCTTGCATCTACGCCTGCAGAAACATATATAATAACAGCAATTTTACCAAAAGGTGCACAGTACTTATCAATGCAAGATGGGTTTAGTGGTAAATGCGGCTCAATATAGAACAATATAGAACATTTGTTATCTGTTAACACCTGAATCTAAACACCTGTGGGTCTGAGTGTTAAAATGCTTGTGTATGCAAGGTTTCCACTTAAAAATATGCAATAGCGAGTGTGAGGAGCCACAGACCTGCCCCTCTGGATCTGAGACAGATACGGAGGAGATCCGAAGCGCAGACATCCAAGGGCCCCCCAGAGCACAAGAACCCCAGGAGAACCATCGCAGGGACTACAGCAACCCCCCAAGAGAAGAGCAGGGTAGAGTCCCAGGGAAACCACCCAGCAGCCACAGTGCAGAAGCCCCAGGGAGCTGCAGCGACGAGCCCAAAGGCCCCGCCGGCAGCCATCTACGCCAGAGCAGATTCTGCCATGGACCCAGAGACCCAAGACCACCTAAAATATTACTCACCAAGCAGAGGTCCGACAGAGCCCAGGGGTCCAGGCCCCGGAGAGCAGCCACTGGGAGTGAGCCAGCACACACCAAAGCACCCAGCCCCCCGACAACCACAAGCACACCAGCAGGCAAAGACACCAACCACCAGCAGGTAGTGTGGCGGGGAGGAAATAGTTCCCACATTGTACACTCACTCAAACTTCCCATACATACTCTATACTCCCAGGTCCATGTGCCGATACCCCATAGAGGCAACCAGCCCCTGGCCCAGGAGGTGGTCCCCTTCCCTCCGGGGGTGGAGACAGGCAGACCACCCCAGCACCAGCCCAGAGTAGTGCTGGCACCGCCCGAACCCGAGCGACCCCCGCCCAGACCCCTGACCCCCATCCCCATCCGGAGAGGGGTCCATGTACAAAAGAGGGGTCTACCTGCTACCTGGTTTAAACGAGCCCGCCAACCAGAGCCACTAAAGGATGTAACAGTCCCAACCCCCCAATAAATTCTGATCTCAAACTTAAGTGCCCCAACCCCCCATGAACCCCAACAGAAATGTTTCCACAGGGCCGCCCATAACCAGGACACAGATATCGAACACATGCCTCCGAACCCAAATGCCATGAACCCCTCCCCACAAGGGCACACCTCCACAGGTGAGCTCCAGCCCCAAAAAGCAGACGAAGACATACCCACACAGCGCAAGCTCCACACACATCCCTGCTCCAAGCACCCCTGCCGCATCCTGCTCCCCCCACCACACAGCATGGCGCGATGGCTGGGGCCCCGCGCAATGCCACTCCAGCCTCCGCCCACAGGCACAACAGGACAGACACCACCGAGCACCGTGCCCACAACACACACTCACCCGGCATAGGTCCCCAGTCAGAGGCAAGCACACGGGACCTGTCCCGCCCCCCCCATACACACAAAATGCAAGTCTGAGAAATCTTCGTTAAACAGAGGGGATTTTCCCAACAGCTGCACAGCCTGCACTCAGTTACAGCTGAGATATAAAGGTTTTCTAACAACCCCAAAATTATTTAAACATGTTTTATTCTCAAAAATGGGCACATTTATATTTAAAAAGTTCCAAACTTCAACATTGACCATTGTCAAGTGGTTATATTGTATTGTATACTCTGTTCAGGCATTGGCTACACCTGTTTATCCTGCTTTATTCACTAAGAGAATCCAACCAAATCTCCAATTCTGTGCTGTCCACTTTTTAATATTTAGAAAATAATAAAATCTATTTAATTTCAGAAATTTAAAACTAATATGTGTTTACTGTTAAATTAATAAACGTTTTTCCGTATTTTTCTTGACTGAAGTGTTCCTGTGCTACACTTGAACAAAGGTGTCCTTGTCTGTTTTTTTGCATTTTATTTTGTTTGCCAAATCCATACAGAGCTGTACTTCCAAAACCAATGTAATTACTAAACTATGATTCATATATGTGGTTACACACCAACGTTTTGGAACAGCAACAAATATGGCAGAGCCTATATTTTAACCAAATAATACGTTTAGAACAAATGACAGACACCAACATCAGCATCTTTCATTTTTCCCTGAGGGAGGTTCAGTTATAAGGCCAGAGTAGATTGATTCCTCAGTCACAGATCAATTGGAGACTGCTATACTTATCTGCAGACAATTTTTTATCATAGTGGGCAGAAGTCAGCACTAAAAAGGTCTTAATCCCAGACAAAATGAAGTTAGGTTGTAGAACCAGGCTATATATGAATACAGAGTTTTTGTGTAAGCTCAATAAAAGTTAAAACCCTATTTTGAGAGTGCTTATCCTATTGATTATGCATTAGCCTGGTAACATGGACTCTGGTGCACTGCAGAGTCGTGCACAGTTTCATTTAGCTTGTGAGGCAGTGAAGTCAGAGGCGCCAAGGCAGATTTTGCAGGCACAGAAACAATTGATAATTTAGTAATTGGGTTGTCTGGATTTATCATTATCAAAATGTATTTATTGTTCTTAATTTTTCAGTAATCTCACTGTTGCATACAAGAGCCCAGAAGTGTGTGAGACATTTCCTTTGAATCGTACACAGATTGCAGAAATATAAGTAATTATGTAAAACTGATGCTAATCCAAAAGGCTCCAAGAGACAGAGATGGAAATCTGCCATTATTTCAAATGGTCACAATTAGTCCACAGTGGAATTCAGGAGCAAATTAGCTCAATCATTCCAGCCTAGTGTTTATTCAAATTTTCCCCCAAAAAATAACAAAAAACAAACAAAAAACCCACTGATTACTTAACATCCCCATTGATCAAAGACATTTGCATAGGAACAACAGACCACTGACATGTTTCATATATGTTGAAAGAAATGCACTTTTAAGAGGCCACACAGTGCAGACACTACAAAACAAATCATTTCACATAAAACAATAATTTATATATAATCACCCTCATATAGTGACACACTGTACACAAACTGTCCACTTTCTTAGTTGCTCCATGATAGTACTGAGTTAAACTGCCTTAATCTTCATGACATTGGTCTATATTGACACAGTAGCATAAGACAGTTTCAGATTATTTTTTTCACGGTCCACTAAAGCAGAGGCGCTTTATTGGATTGAGATTTGGTGATTGTGCAGGCCCAATTGCCTAAGTCATATGACTTAGGCAATTTTGCTATTAGGCTCACAAAATATAGTTTATCCTTACACAGTTTTGAATAGTTTCCTAGTATACAGCTATTTACCAAGGCATGTTGTCTGGTGTTATCAGTCTTTTAAAATTATTTTATTTATTATTTTATATATCTTTTTCTTATGTAAATTTACAGTAATTGCAATGATTATGATTATCAACCACCATCGTCTATTTGGGCATCGTCCAGTCAATCACAGGAAAAGCCACCTTCATTTTCACCTCCCGCACAACCACATCCAGACCTTTTTCAATTTCTACGTGGTTCATACCTTTTTCTGCATTTTCCCTATTTTATAAATCTATTTAAATTTTATCTTTAATATATCTCCTCCATTTGAAGTCATATGTTATTTTTCTGTGTAAGTTTTTTTTCTATGTTATGCTTCTTTTACATTAATTTTGGTTCAGCAAAAAATCATATTGTGCACTGTGGTTTGCTAGATGTTTGGATTGCAGCTACAAACTTACAATCATATCAAGAAGGGATTTTTTTTTTCATTTAAGGACGTTTATTTTGTTAGACATACATGATTACAATTTTTTTTAAGTATTACAATCATTATGCCTTAAACATTTTGGGAAAACTCCATATCACTGACCTCAAGGTGAAAGTTGATGTGATAAAGATTAACATAGTTTCATACCACAAGATACTGGAACCTAGAACAAAAGAATTTTTCCTGAACAGAAATCGAACAGAGGACACTAGTGAGAACACCGAATCCTGACCATTAGACTAAAAGGTATAGGACTTCTTGCGAAGCAAGGAGGTATTCCCACAACGTCTTCTATGAAAAAGCTTGAGATTGAACTTGACGTTGTGTCTCACACAAGAGGAAATATAACCTGAGACAAGAGATTTTCCCACACCAAAAGACCACCAGGGATGAGCCTTTGGGCAACGTGAAAAGGCACTGTGAAAATATCTTCCATTCGGCAGCTCACCCAAGTAATTGGACATTGTGGCAACCTAGGTATGATGTGTGTGCATGGTTTTAAAAGTGAGAAAAGCTTTACAGTTAAAGCCTTATTTTGAGGAACAGTCATGCCCTAGGCTTCCGAGATGCTAACTTTACCTCAGACTACGAGCAGAGTTTCTTTTGGGGATTTGTTCTGACGTGTGCATTGTACAATTTTGTCTTTAATAGAGTTTTTGCAGGTCAGTCTTCAGATTTTTGTGGTTTTCATGTTTCTGAAGGTAGTAGCAAGAGGTCTATGATAACGAATACCAACATTGCTTTAAAGACCTTATGTGTGCCTCATGTTTTGTTTCAAAGCAGACAAAAAAATTCAAAGTTTAATCTAAGCCAGAGCTAAAGCGTGGTTGGCTGTGTTCTAGGTTTTCTGGAACTTGCCTTTCACCAAAAACTTCAAGCAAAATTTCCTTTGGAGCTTCACTCTTACTTGTGCCCCTCCCCTTTTGCCTTTATAAAGGCCCATGAGGTCAGTGAGGATCTCTTTGGGTTTTTCAATCTATCAAGAGGTTTTGTGGGCAAACACTATGATTGTTTTGTAGACTGAGATTTGATCAACAAAACAAACCTTTTGTCAAATAACTCGAGGGGATCTATCACACTTTCAAGGCAGGGCCAGTTATGGGCCGAATTATAACATTTTGCTTATAAACCTATTTGGGGAAAACTCATATCCTGAACTCAGTGTACAGGGAAAAAAATGGTCAGGGGTTTAAATGACATTACCAAGAGGGAAACTATAACATGATTACAGACCTCTTCCCTGACCAGGAGTCGAGCCAGGGCCACGGCAGTGAGAGCACCAAATCCTGAACACAATACCACCAGGGATGTGTCTTTTTTTGAAAGAGAGAAGGCATTCTGACAATATCTTCCATTCGGCGGCTTACCCAATTAATTGGACACTGTGGCAGCTTAGGTATGATGTGTGTGAATGGTTTTAAAAGTGAGAAAAGCTTTACAGAGTAACATCACACAACTGATACTGTAACATGCTAATGGAGTTTTTCCCTGACCGGAATGAAAACCCGGGGGCCTGGCGGTGAAAGCACCAAATCCTGTCCACTAGACCACCAGGGAAGGCCTTTTGAGGAAGTGAGAAGGCATTGTGACAATATCTTCCATTTGGCATCTCACCCAAGTGATTGGACATTGTGGCAACTTAGGTATGATGTGTGTGCATGGTTTTAAAGTGGAAAAGCTTTACAGTTAAGCCCTTATTTTGAGGAACAGTCTTGGCTCATAGGCTTCCGAGACACTACCTTTCCTTCAGACTTCGAGCAGTTTCTTCTGGGGATTTGGTCTTACATATGCCTCGTACAATTTGTCTTTAATAGAGTTTTTCGCGGATCAGTCTTCAGACTTCAGTGGTTTTCATGGTTTGTTGAAGGTAGCAAGAGGTCTATGATGATGAATAACAACATTGCTTTAAAGACTCATTAAGTGTGCCCCATGTTTTGTTTCAAAGCAGACACAAAATTCTAAGTTTAATCCTAAGCCAGAGCTAAAGCGTGGTTGGCTCTTTTCTAGGCTTCCGGGAACTTGCCTTTCACCAAAACTTCAAGCAAAGTTTCCTTTGGAGCTTCACTGTTACTTGTGCCTCATACCTTTTGCCTTTAATAAAGGCCCATGAGGTCAGTGAGGATCTCTTTGGTTTGGTCAATCTATCAAGAGGTTTTGGATGGCAAACACTATTATTGTTTTGTAGACTGAGATTTGATCAAGCAAAACAACCTTTTATCAAATAACTGGAGGGGATCTATCACACTTTCAAGGCAGGGCTAGTTATGGTGGGATAGTGGTAAGAACAGCTGCCCCCCAGCAGGTGACCTGGTTTGGATTTCTGGCCAATGCACATTATAATTCCGTTTGCCAAAACCTGGTAGACAGGTAAACACTGTGATGGCCTCTAAGGTGTTCTCGTCGGAATTACATGACATTTAAATTTAACCAAACGTTGATGCAAAAAGTGCTGTAGAAAAGACAATGTATGTCTAAGCACTCTGGTGAAGTTATATTGAATCTTGTGAAATGTAAAGATCTCGTGTACGTCAAGTGAAACACAAATACATTAGCATTTTAATTCTCATATACCTTCCTGCATGTTTCAATGTGTGTCTGAAAAGATACATTTAGAAAACTAAAGGCGTCTGTTGTTACTATTAGCGGATGGTTTTTGTGAAACCAAAATGGCCACCATTAATGCCAAATGAACTAAACAGAAATGTGTAAAATCCATGAAATATTGTAGTCCCTGTATAGTGTAGAGGATCTGTGATCAAGTGCTTTGTACAAGATAAAAATTAATTACACATGGAAAAGACGTCAATGCGCCTTTTGAGGAGGAGGATGTTTTCTAACCAATTCAATGTAAGAGTGTTCTTAATTTTGTTATGCAAGAGGAATTACAATATTTCCCTCCACCAAACAACAGTGGGACAGAATTATAAGCATTATGCCATTAAGATATTTGGGAAATCTGCATATCACTGACCTCAGTGTACAGGTAAATATGATAAAGGTTAGAGTAACATCACACAACAGGAAACTGTAACATGCTAATGGAGTTTTTCCCTGACCGGGAATCGAACCCGGGCCGCTGGCGGTGAGAGCGCCAAATCCTGACCACTAGACCACCAGGGATAAGCCTTTTTTCATAGAGAGAAGGCCTTCTGACAGTATATTCCATTCAGCGGCTCACCCACATAATTGGACACTGTGGCACCTTAGGTATGATGTGTGTGCATGGTTTTATAAGTGAGAACAGCTTTACAGTTAAAGCCTTATTTTGAGGAACAGTCTTGGCTCATAGGCTTCCGAGACACTACCTTTCCTTCAGACTTCGAGCAGTTTCTTCTGGGGATGATGTGTGTGCATGGTTTTATAAGTGAAACGCTTTACAGTTAAAGCCTTTATTAGGCTTTAAAACTTAGGTTGGCTGTGTGGTTGGCTGTGTTCTAGGCTTCCGGGAACTTGCCTTTTACCAAAACTTCAAGCAAAGTTTCCTTTGGAGCTTCACTCTTACCTTTGCCTCATAACATTTGCCTTTAATAAAGGCCCATGAGGTCAGTGAGGATCTCTTTGGTTTGGTCAATCTATCAAGAGTTTTGGATAAAACATTTGTTTTGTTTTTTTTAAAGACTGAGATTTTGATAACCCAAAAAAACCCTTTTTCAAATAACTGGGGGGAATCTATCACACTTTCAAGGCAGGGCCAGTTATGGTGGGATAGTGGTAAGAACAGCTGCTCCCCCAGCAGGTGACCTGGTTTCGATTTCTGGCCAATGCACATTATAATTTCCGTTTGCCAAAACCTGGTAGACAGATAAACAATGTGATGGCCTCTAAGGTGTTCTCGTCGGAATTACATGACATCTAAATTTAACAAACGTTGATGCAAAAAGTGCTGTAGGTGAGAGTGCAGAACCCTGACCACTAGACCACCAGGGATGAGTCTTTTTTAATAGAGAGAAGGCCTTCTGACAGTATCTTCCATTCAGCAGCCACCCACGTAATTGGACACTGTGGCACTTTAGGTATGATGTGTGTTTATGATTTTAAAAGTGAGAAAAGCTTTACAGTTAAAGCCTTATTTTGAGGAACAGTCATGGCTCCTAGGCTTCCGAGACGCTACCTTTCCCTCAGACTTCTAGCAGAGTTTCTTTTGGAGATTTGTTCTTACATATGCCATGTACAATTTGTCTTTAATAGGGTTTTTGCAGGTCAGTCTTCAGACTTTCATGGTTTTCATGGGTGCCGAAGGTAGCAAGAGGTCTATGATAATGAATAACAACATTGGACCTTGTGTTGACATATGGCATTGAGTGTAAAGACATAACAATATTTTCTCACAACCCTATGCTGTCTGACCATTTTTTAATAACCTTTGAATTTAATTTAACCGTGTACTCCACACCTGAAAGAAAATTTCATTATAGTAGATCATTATCAGACGATGCTGTAACAACCTTTAAAGAATCTGTTCCACTTTTAATTTGCTCATTATCACAGAAAAACACAGTGGAGGGCAATAATTTTTTTTCTTCCCCTTCACAAATTGATTTTTTTGTTCATAGTGTTACTTTATCATTGTGTGGTGCATTAGACAAGACCCCTTGAAAAAGAAGGTAATTATTCATAGGAGGCTAGCTCCCTGGTTTAATTCAGAGCTGCGTACTTAAAAGCACAATTTAAAAAATTGGAGCGAAAATGGCGCTCTACACACCTAGAGGATTCCTACTTAATCTGGAAAAATAGCCTACTGTTGTAAAAAAAGACACTTCACCAAGCTAGAACAGCTTATTTTTCATCCTTAATAGAAGAGAACAAGAATAATCCTAGGTTTCTCTGTAGTACAGTTGCTAAACTTACACAGAGTCATAGCTCTGCTGAGCCATCCATTCCCTAGCTCTCAGCAGTCATGACTTTATGGGATTCTTTCCCAAAATAAAATGATTCTATTAAGAAGAAAATCTTTGACACACTCCAGAGATGATTATTTCATCCTCAACAAGTGAGACAACATTGGAAATAACTGTAGAACCTGATCTGTGTTTTGGACGTTTTGATCCTGTGGAGCTTCCTGAGTTATCAGAAAATATTAGCTTCATCTAAACCTTCAACTTGTATGTTAGACCCAATCCCAACCAAATTATTTAAGGAAGTGTTCCTCTGATTACCAGGCCCAATTTTAGATATGATTAATCTATCCTCTAGTAAATGGATATGAACCACAAGCTTTTAAGGTAACTGTAATTAAACCTTTGCTTAAGAAACTTCTGCTTGATGAGATGACTTAATAAATTACAGACCGATATCCAATCTTCCATTCTTATCTAAAATTCTTGAGAAAATAGTTGCTAATCAAATGTGTGAGCATTTACACAGCAATGACCTGTTTGAAGAGTTTCAGTCAGGTTTCAGAGCTCATCATAGCACTGAAACAGCTCTGCTGAAAGTCACTAATGATATTCTTATTGCCTCAGATAATGGACTTGTGTCTGTACTGGTTCTGTTAGATCTCAGTGCTGCATTTGATACAGTCGATCATAATATTCTCTTAGAAAGGCTGGAATATGCTGTAGGGATCAGGGGAACAGCGCTAGGCTGGTTAAATCGTTATTTGTCTGACAGATTCCAGTTTGTTCATGTAAATAATAAATCATCTTTAAACTCCAGGGTTAATTGTGGAGTACCACAGGGTTCAGTACTTGGGCCAATTCTCTTTACTATATACAGGGGTTGGACAATGAAACTGAAACACCGGGTTTTAGACCACAATAATTTATTAGTATGATGTAGGGCCTCCTTTTGCGGCCAACACAGCGTCAGTTCGTCTTGGGAATGACATATACAAGTCCTACACAGTGGTCAGAGGGCTGGCTACCAGGCTGGTCCAATTTAGCCATGAAACCTCCCACTCTAAAATGACAGGTGTTTCAGTTTCATTGTCTAACCCCTGTATATGCTTCCAATAGGTAAAATTATCAGGCAGCATAGAATAAATTTTCACTGTTACGCTGATGACACTCAGCTTTACTTATCCATAAATCCTGATGAGCCCAATCAGTTAGATAGACTACAAGCATGTCTTGAATACATAAAAACTTGGATGACTTTAGATTTTTTGCTTCTAAATTCAGACAAGACAGAAGTTGTCGTCTTTGGACCGGAGTCTTTAAAAAAGAAACTGCTTAGTCAATCACCTAATCTGGATGGCATTAAATTGACCTCCGTTAATAAAGTAAAAAACCTTGATGTTATTTTTGACCAGGACATGTCATTTAAATCCCATATTAAACAGGTTTCTAGGATTTCCTTTTTTCATCTCGGGAAAACATTGCCAAAATTAGAAATATCCTGTCCCAGGATTGATGCTGAAAAACTAGTCCATGCATTTGTTACTTCAAGGCTGGACTATTGTAATTCTTTACTATCAGGATGTCCACAAATGCAGTTAAAAGCCTTCAGCTGATTCAAAATGCTGCAGCAAGAGTTCTGATGAAAAATTAAAAAAGAGAGAACATATTTCCCCTACTTTAGCTTCCCTTCATTGGCTCCCTGTTAATCCAGAATAGAAT